TAATAATAATAATAATTATTATTATTATTATTTGTGGAACCAGCTGTTAGGCAGGGGATGGGGTCGGACTGAATCTTGCCCAACTATTGCCTATTTAAAATTTTGGAAGAATTAAAGAATTGCAATAAAAGAATGCCTGACCAGTTCAAGCACCGGACAGTTTCCCTACGGCAAAGCGGTCAGAAACCGCCTTTGCTTACTGGGGCTGCTCCGCGGTTGGATCAAGCGTGATGTTGCCCAGGTTATAAAAGGTTTCTCATTAACTTGGAGCATACATTACTGTGCCCACAGGGAGGCCAGACCGAGGTCACGTGACCACACAGAATTTGAGGAAGGAAAGGGGCCGTGGATAGGCGTCGGTGTTATCTGATGCTCAGCACAAAGGAAACTCACAAAGAGCAGAACGGATAAAGCAAACAAAGGTTGCGTTTCTCCCAAAGGACGCCGCATTTGTGGGCAGAGACGCAAAGCTCAGAGATGCCTGGGGGATTTTTTTTAAAAAGCGGACGCCTCGTTCCGATGACCCGCACGATTTATATAGGTTGCAAATTAGCACCACCCTTGCACAACCTCTCATCTCTCTGTTTGTTCTAGTGCAACATATTTTATTTGTTTAGTAAAAGGCCAGCCCTTCCAAGGTGGTTACAGAACAGGCAAAAGAACAAGGCGATAAATTATTACAACCGGAAAAGGTTCGGGTTGCAAAACCGCCCGGTGCTACCTTAACAGAAAACCACCAGCCTGGTGTTGGTACGTTATAGATTTAGTAGCAGTTCCATCTGCAGATCCGAGCAGGGGGTGAGGGTGGAGGGAAGCCCTGCCCGCCAACTTCTGCAGACAAAGCTGCTGTTCAACCCACGAAAACAAGGGACTACCTGGCAACATTGCACACGCCTCTGCCTGTGTTTAAAAATGGCACTGAGAAGAAAATGGAAGGAGAGAGCCTCGACGCTTAGGGAAGTTTACCTGATTCTGCTAATTTGAGTTCACAATCCATGTAGTCAAACATCTCCACGGTGAGCTGGAAGCTACAGAGAATTGTTAAATAAAGAGCAGAGGACCAGTGATCAGTTCCCCTTTCTGAGTAAAGTGGCATGCCTCTGATAAGAAATTGGGGGATTAGCAAGAAATGCTTCTTACTGTCACATCAAGCTTTCCCTAAATGCAACCATGCCTTCGCTGGGCCTAACCCAGGCTACGATGAAGCCACGCTATGATAGGAAGGAATTCGGTCTCTCCCCTGCCCCCAGCAACCCCTACCCCTCTTTCTTGCCTGCAAGGAACTCAAAACTGATGTTTTAGATTAACCTAATCACCCAACCCCCTAAACTGTGGATCATCTTAACTCTGTTGAAACACACCTAATATGGTTGGAGATTGGCTTGCTGCAAACAACCCATCATTGTTATGCTCAATTGAGGAGGAAAAAAAGAGGAGAGACAAACATGTTTGGGATTGGGGGAGGCCCACTGCCATCTTAGTAAATGGTGGCTTTTCAACATTTGGTCCCATGGAGCAACCAGATCAATTCCCCTTGGAAGGTCACTCGCAGGAGAAGAAGGCCAACAGTCCTCCCTTGTCCACAGCAGATGGTTACCCTGGTTTTGTTGAATAACCCAAGCTACAGCTAGCAATGCCACGTTGCTCACGATGCTTGGGCCCATGTCTAATTCCAGACAGGTCAAAGGGAGCATACAAGGTCAGGAAACCATGTAACTCAACCATCTGAGCTTGCTGGGAGCCAACCAAAACTGCACCGTGGTTTTTTTAGGGCAAGCACCAACCCAACCCAACGTTTAATCCAGAAAGCAAGACATAAAACTGTTTCCTGGGGATCAGAATTCTGATCTCGGAGGAGAGGTTAATATTACAGCTACCCCGCCAAGGATCTTCTGAGGTTCTCATCCGATTCACTCCTGGGACGCTACGTTTGCACCAGGGAGAAAGGCAGCTATTAGGTTTTCTTAAAATTTTCAAGGAATCCCAGAGAGGGGAGAAATACTTACATGTTGTTCACATCTGTTCCAGCAGCCTTTTCTAGCACCTCGTCAGTGACTTCAAGCCCAGGCGGGAATTCGGGATGCTTCAGAGGGTAAAGCAGGGAGAATTAGCAGTTGTCATCAGGGAGAATCCTGCCCTTTGCAAACCTTGCAGGATTCACAGAAAAGGGGCTGGCTACACTCTCCCCTCTGCACCCACGTAAACATGGCAGGTTCACATCAGACTATAATCTGCCAAGAACATATCTTGGATTACAGCAAGACCCATGGCAGGGCAACGGGTGACCTCAGCCAATTTGGACTACAACCCCCAACCAAAGGCTGAGGATTCAAACCATGCAGGGGACAGTTTTAGCTGCGGGATCAAACTGTCTAATTTGGGTGCTTTCAAATTGATGCGTGTACCTCCCTTGGACCTGTCAACAATTGATAGAAGTAAACTCGAGTTTAAAGTCAAGATGCCATGTTTTTCCAACCTGTGGTCTAACAGAGCATACATTTAAAGGCAAGACCAATGAAATACCATTCAGAACCAACTAAGGCATCTTTTAAAGGTCTGTAGCCCCAACATCTCTACTACAGCTGATGACAAATCCTCCTCTGCTGGCTGAAGGTGAGCCAGAACAAGCAAAAAAACATTCGAGGGCTCCACTGTAACATCCAGGCAGGTTGTAACTTTTCAGATGTAACTACCAGGTTAATAAACCAAGCCCACACACGTGTCCCATCCTTAAAAAGAGAGCGTTGTATCTCACTTGCCTTAGCCCACCCTGCAAAACTCAGTCCAACTTTACTGTGAGAACAGGGTCGCTCAGAAGGGAGTTACCTTTACGTGGAAGGAGATTTTGGTGAGCAGAAGTTTGGTATAAATATTCACAAGCTGGCCATAACGATCGTGTAGATGGCGCTGGAAAGGGAAAATAACGAATGCGTCTGGCTCCAAAAACCCAAAATATGTTTTCCTGGGGTGCCCCAGCTGCCTCCTCCTTGTCTGCACTGGAGGAATAGGAATTCCTATCTTTGTTCGCCCACCCCAGACTGACCAGGCCCCTCTGGCCATGCTCTATATTCTGGTAAAGGTCTGGACTTAGTCTCCAAAATTGATTTAACATCTGAAGGTTCTGAAGGAGGCAGAAGATATCCAGAACTCACCCAAAGGTCTCCAGTTTCTCGGATGTTACTTCGATATCGCTGACAGTCCTGAAGAACCTAGAGAAATCGACAGGGCATTAAAAAAAAAAAACTTGGAGAACACAGAACTGGACGTCTCAGAAATGCCAACCATGCTATCTCAGAGCGTCCGAAAGAAAAGGCAATGAGAGGTTGACATAGGCGGCCCAACATTTGGGTAGCTCCAAGAACGCAAAATCCAGTCTTGGATACAAATGACATGCAATGCTTGTACTGTTTATAACTTATCTTTGACAAGTCAATTTAAGCAATCCCCTTTTTTTGGAAAGGAAAAATGGGCTCTGTATTTCTCAGATAAATAAATGAACTCAAAAGAACATCTTTCCTCAGCCTGGCTTCATGGGCTGAACTATGCCCTCTACGTGACTGGAAATTATGGAGAGTTGTAAACTAATCGGTCCGAAATGTACCAGGCTGGGGGAATGTTAATTCAGAGGCTGCAAAACTCTCTCTCTCTTTTTTTTTCCTTGCAGCCATCTTGGGAAAGAGCTCACTGAAGTATTTGTTAAAGAACACCACCTGGCGCACCATCTGTTGAAAACAACAGCTCAGCACAGCCAGACGGATGCGTTACCTCCTTGGCGATAGCCTCGTCTAATAGCTGAAAGGAAGAAGATCAGGGAACTTACGTTTGGATGACCATCTCGGAGAACCTTGTGGAGAACATGGCAGAACTTCCAGCTCAAGATGGCACTGCTAGGCAGAGGGAGACCAATCGCGTACGACCAAAAAGTAAATGCACCTTTCTCATGATGCGTCCCCAGAATAATTCCTTCACACAAGTTAAGGTTCATATTAAACATGGGACGCGTGGTCCTTGCTTGGCTATGATCAGCAATCGGAAAGGATCCCAGAAACAATTTCAGTTAAATGGGTGAGGAAATGCTATCTTATCAGGAAATGTTGGCACCCAAAACTCCGTCCTGAGTTCTCTCTTCAGAACATGCTATATAGTTTACCTTACACATGCAGCCTCTGTTTCTCCATGCCTGCCAATTAAGTGATGTAAAGATGAAGGAAACCCGAAAGTAAATGGTGTCTGGTTATACGGGGAGGTGAATGGCATATTATACAGGGAGAAAATGAATGGTGACCCTGGAGGACAGCTTATCCATGTTTTTCAACAAGCCATACCCTAGCCCCCAGAGAGCTTCTAGACAGGACTAGAATGCAGGTCTCCCTCATCCAGCACCTTAACCACAAGACCAAACTGGGTCTCATCCTCTTAGATAGATGGGTAGGTGACGGATGGATGGATGGATGGATGGATGGATGGATAGGATAGGATAGGATAGGATAGGATAGGATAGGATAGGATA